CTGAATACTGGTGTGTAGTAAGCAAGCTGGGTGGGTGATTGTGGTGGGGCCTCATGGTGCCTGGGAGGAGATGAAGATGAGGAGGTTTTTCCTTACTGTATAAATGAATATTTGTATGATTAAATTAACACACACAAAAAAAAAAACCCTTGTCACATGTGTCGGTGAGTTTTATTGCGTCCTCAAGCTCCCTCTGTGTCTGCTTGGCCCCACATGGCTCTGTGATGTGCACTTTTTGGTCTCTGGGTCTTTCCCTTTTGCAAAGGGGAAATCAGTCCTAGGGTTGTAATTAGATCTGCTGCCCTTTCTGGCTCCTGAGGACCAGAAAGGTGAGTAGACTGCTCCCAGTGGCCTTTAGGTCCCAGAGTCCCATGCATCTGCTTGAGCACCGCTCTGTCCCAGCACGTAAGAAGTTCCTTGCAAATTAGTGTTGAGCCAGCAAGCACTGTCCGGGCATTTACTGAGGGCCAGCACATAGTACAGGAAGAGTGCAGAGCATCATGGGCACTTCCTGCTGGGAATGCAGGCAAGGCCGAGTTCGGGGGGAGCCTTTCTCAGTCCCACATGGGCCCCGGCACCCTAGATTTAGAAGAGGGAATACATCTTCCCTCACATGTTTCCCATGGTGGTTGCATGTAGTTCCTGGGTGCTCTAGGCGCTCCTTCGGGCATCTTACGGATTAGGTAAGTTTTGGGGGACTGGCCTGGGATCCTCAGAGTCAGGAAGAGACCACAGTCTAGGCAATTGGCAAACCAACTTGGAGCCTACCCCACATATTTATGTGAGACAGACCTTTGACCTTGGCCAAGAGATGGGGAGGCTGGTTACACAGTGGTCAAATAGCATGAAAGAAACTTAATTGACAAACATGACGGCCATTGGTGGGTTCACTGGATCCATTCCTGCATGTCTAGAGCATTCTTAAGAGCTGAGAACTCAAGTTTATCCTGTCATATCACCCCTCTGCGTTGGCAGGGAAGTGAGCAGAGGAGAGAGAGCTGTTTGAGTCTTGCAGGCTTGGACCCATTCCCTCAGCCGCAGATGCTGGCATTGTTTTCACTTAAATTGCAGACCCCCAGATTGGGTCTTTGCTCTGTTTAGAACATGGCTGGCAAAGCCATGTGTTCTAAATGATGATGGACCTGGATGTGAGCCATGTATCTAGGGAATGGGAATTGGGAGGAGGGGATCCCCTGGCCACCTCCCTGTAGCCAGCTCAGTGAGGGCACCTGTGGCCACAGATTGCATGAGGGAAATGGAGGCACCGCAGAAGAACTGGTCCCTGCCCCAACGGCCTGAATGCAAGCCTCCTTTTTCTGTGTATAGGCTGATACAGAGCCCAGGGTGAGGGAGCTGGGAGACTGGCCCGGAGACCCCTGGGGGAGTGCCATTGCCCCCGCCCCTAGTGCCAGAAAAGCACTTAAACATCCTGCTTCCTTACAGGTGCCCAGGGCTGTTTGTTCTCTGCAGGAGAGGCGCCCCCACCCTGTCACCTGGGTCTCCTGGCAGCTCAGGCCCACTCCCATGCTTGCCCCAACACCCCTGCTGCCGGACAGTTATTTGCTTGGCAGAATCTGTTTATCTTTGGGGCTGTAACCTGTCAAGAAGTCAGCAGGCCCTGGGAGAAGGGAGCAGCTTTGATGGTAGCTCCTGGCCCAAGCCATTCCCACGGGGGCTAGGTGACAGGGCAGGGGCGCTCAGCCGAGCTTTTGTGTGGGGGGGTAAGGGATGGGGGAGGCAGTGGCCGTGGTCCCGGCCCAGCCCTCGTGGCAGAGCAAACAGGTCCTCTCAAGCCACCTCCCTACCCCAGCTCAGGTTGTACCTGGGTGCCTCCCAACCTATTCTCAAGAAAACCTCAACTGCAAGCTGTGACCCGGCCACTTTCCCAGACACCACCTCATGTCCAGCCCTGTCTGGTGGCCAAGAGGACAGGCACCAGGGGCGCTCATGGCAGCCCTTTATTTCAAAATGGGAGCGGAGCAGGGAGCGGGCAAGGCTGCTTTGAGATGGGAGAATGTGTGTGAGTTTGGGGGTCAGTGTGCCCAGAGAACGGATTCTGACTGACGGGTTTCAGATGACTGCTCTATACAATGGGGTGTACTGGTTTAGAAGCCAGGATGTGGAATTCATGGATTTATTTCTATACCCTCAGTTCTGAGATGCTGCCATCTGGGGCAGTGCTTCTCAAACTTCGATGTGTTAAAATATAAATTCTGATGTAGTAAATTTTGGAGGAGAGGGCAAGATTCTACATTTCTAACGAGCTCCCAGGGGATCACACTAGGGTAGCAGGAGAGGGACTGGAGGGGCTGCCAGCACCCTGTCCATCAGGGCTGTGTAGGCCAGGCCCGCTGGAATGTGAGGGAGTTGTAGTCGTCCAGAACAGTAACATTCAAAAGTGGGTCCCCCAGCATTTCCCTACTATTTCTGGCTTAAACATTATTTTTAGTATGCTACTTTTCCATCACAAATGACAAATATTTGCGTGTCCACTAGAATTATGGTAATATTGGCTGACTTACCAACTCCTATTTAACTATTTATATGAACTCCCTCATTTAATCCTCACAGCCACCCATCTGAGGTCTTCGAGGGCAGGTGCTCAGTTGGTGAACGAGTAACTCCTACATGTCATGACGCCTATGAAAATGGAGATGCTGGGGTGCATGGAGTAAGCAACCTTAACTCGGGATCTGGGAAGCTTCTCTGAGGAAGCGACACTTAAGCTGAGACCTGGAGAGATGTGAAAGGGACCATGAAGGGGCCTGCAGGAAGATGGGAGAGGTGGTGTACTTGAGACACTGAAGGGAGATCAGCGGCTCTATGAGGGGTATTCCTCCCCAATGGTCCTGCTGCCCTTGGCTCTTTGTAGTTTATTGACTCATGTATTGAACATCACTTAATGTGCCAAGCACTGTTCTAGGTACTGGAGATACAGCAGTAACCAAAAGACAAAAACGCCTGTCCTCATAGAACTGACGTTCTAGTCAGGTTAGGTCGCCAATTAGCAAGATAATATATCAGGAGGTGACAGGTGCTATGGAGAGAAATGTGGCCCAGAAGGACAGAGCTGGTGAGGGAGAAAGGATTGCTGTTTTATACAGGACAACACACACAAAGAATGCCTTGTGGGTCTCTGGAGTAAGAACATTCCAGGCAGAGAGAGGAGCACATGCAAAGGCCCTGAGGTGGGAGCACAGCTCTTGCAGAGTGAGTGGAAGAGTAGTAGGAGATAAGATCAGAGAGGTGCGGGGCGTCAGGTCGTGTGGGGCCTGCCTGGAAGTGATTGAAATGGTTTTGGCTTTCTGGCCCAGACGAGAGCTATTCAAGGGATGTGAGTGAGCACAGGGAGGGACACATCGGACATCCCTAGAAGATCCCTCAGGGTGCTGCTGTGTTGAGAATAAACTGTGTTGAGGGCAGGAGCTGGGAGGCCTAGTGTTTACTGGCTGGTGTCTGTGGAGGTGGTGACAAGTGGTTACTTCCAAACATTCTGAAAGCTGAGCCAACAGTATTTGCTAATAGATGTAGTGTGAGGGGAGGGGCGATTCCTGAGATTAGGGCCTGAACAGCTAGTATCTGTTTACTGGACAGATGAACTGCTGTTACCTAA